CTACTACTACTACTACTACTGTAAAAGTACTAGTACTGGTACTAGTACTAGTACTAGTACCAGTACTAGTAGTAGAACTACGACTGCTGCTATAAGGGGGTCGGCTTTTTTGGGAAGGTAGGAAGGGAACACAAAGCACAGTGCCACGTGCAGGACTTCAAGCAACGAGGCCAAGGCTGAGCCTAAGGGGCGTTTAGTTCAGGACCTCGCACCGTGCGGTCCAAAGCAGAAGTCATGATTCTGGAAATCCCCAGACGTGAAGCACAAAAGCGGCGAAATGACATGGATCCCGCATTAATCTGACCGACCCGACCCTCAAGCGCGTTGGCCTTTCGGTATTGTCCCTGGCCACCCCTGGACCCCGAACCCGAAACCCTCGGGCCACGCATCCGGGAAAACAGGTCCCACGAAAGAACGGGCCACTCACCGGCGCTGGACATATGCCCCACTCCCAGTGACGAAGTCGAGGACAGCGCGCGCGGGTTCGCCTCGCGCAGACTGGCCGTGTAAGCAGTCCTCGTGTGGAAGTAATTCGTGGGACGCAGCCCATGCATAATCTCAAAGTTCCCAGATCTACAAGAATGGGGCACGGAGCCATGCTTGAGGGCACGGTATTCTCATATTCGCTCTTCTCCAAACTCTGGAAGTTGCAAGCCCTGCTTCATGAAGCCATCACGAAGCCCTTTTTTCGCACGGGGGCTCAAGTCTAGCCAGACCTCGAGCAATCACTGGAATCACCAAGCCCTCTAGACCATAAGCCCTGTACCGTTTTTGCCCTGGCCCCAAAACCGTGCAACCCCAAAGTCCTGGCTCTACCGAGACTGACAGCAGCCTGGGACTGTTCGACTAGAGAAGGCCGAGGCACGCCCACTGTGCTCCGAGAGGATCTTCGCGAAGCAGCGTGCAAGAACCTGACGCAAAGATAATCAAAGATAGTTAGCAAATATTCTCGGTGCAGGGGCATAATGGAAGGAGTGAAGATGAAAACTCCAACCTGAGCGCTGACGTCTTCGCCCGGATACCAAACTGCTACGGTAGGGCCTTGGGGCCCGAGCTCCCTCTAAAACCTTTACGCGAACCTGTGCAGCCCACCTCCGGAGCCCGTGCGGCGTTCTTCGCCTTCTCTATCTCCGGTTCCCAATACCTCTCGGCTTGAGTCTTCGGCGGTGGTGGGTGGTACTGGCGACAGTTCCAAAGCCGTCCACGATGTTCATGGTTCCAACGCGAAAGCCGAGTGCCTAAGTCGTTCTCCCTCCCTTCCCCCGTGCCCCTCCGCCGGACTGAGGACGGGATTTGCAACCTTCAACCGCTGCCGAAAGAGCTGTAACGGACAGACGCAAAGCCAGGCAAAGCCGTTGAGACCTGAGAACAACTCGAAAAAGCCCGGCACAAACCTAGGGGCTCCGGCCTTAGCGTCAGTGACCGCATCAGCCAGGCGCCCGTGGGGCAGCAGCCTTACCAGAGTACGTGAGATTATAAGATGGTTTCGGCCTGCCTGTCACTGACCAGATATGCAATGAAGTGGCGAACCGATCAACAACCACGAAAGCGAAATCCCGATTCCAGCCAGAGCGAGCCTCAAGTATGAAACACGAGAGCCTGAAAGAATGCCAGAGCCCTCTTCCACCCAGACTAGAAACCCTCAAAGCTCGAAAGCCCTGCACACCGCACTCACGAGCCTCCTGGCATCGGAGTCTCGCCAAGGTCCGTGAACCCGCGGAGGAGCAGATCGGCCCTGAGCACAGGAGCCCGACCGCGGATCGGCAGGATGGTAATTGGGTCATCCATCGGTACTGACCACCAGAAAAGTAAAGATTAACCAAGACTCAACCCTAAACCCTGAGAAGGGCCACCCGCCACGTTCAACCGGGGCTCGGGAAGTATCTCGTTGCATCGGACTATGTCGAATCGATACTCCCACTTCCCCCGCTTTGTCATGCTTGTCAACCGTGAAGCAACCAGCGAGCTCCAACCCCAAGGCCTTGAAAGCTCAAGACCTCAAACTCGGAGAGCCGCATGGAAGACGGCGTGAATCTGCGGCACTATGCACCCACCCAAAAGGCCAGCCGCCGAGACCTGATGCACATCCTCAGCACCTGGACTCTAGATTATAGAGGTTTACTTTCAATGATGCCAGGAAGCAGAAAGTCGATCACCTCCTCCTGTGATCGGATGACAGCCGTACCCTGCGAAGCTGAAAACATGCATGAAGGCCGGCCCGCACACTCAGCTGCACATTTTGACCTTAAGGGGTGTAGGCCAGCGTAGACTGCGGGGCATTGACCATCCCACAGTGCTGAGGTATGGCCGAGCAAGTGCCGGTGGGAGGGAAGGACGCAGCGACAAGATATCAATGGATAAAAATGACATCACCATCATCTACCTACAGACTTGCAGGGCATGTGGGGCATCTTAAGGAAAGGTGTGCATGTCCGCATCAGTGCAATCCGATTCGCCTTCTGGCAGGTCTGCCTACATGCCTGAATCCTGCCTATGGCTACAGTCATGAGTGGACGGATTTAGAGGCCGATGAACTAAAGATGGCGGTAAATGCATGCTTGAGAAATTTCATTCATGCCTTCGGAGCTGAAACAATATGCAAGCCTCATTGTCGACCCCGTCAAGACCCTCTTGTCTTTAGCCGCTCTTAAGACCGGAGCCTAGGCCTAGTACAGGACATTCGTCTTTTTCTCACTGATAGGCTACAGCATTCGCAAAGCCCGCAACTGGCTATAGAAGCTCGAAAATGGAAGACGAGCCAAAGAAGTCTCCAGCCCGACGCTCTTCACTTGGCGGAGTCTGAAACTCAACAGAACAAAGAAGAGGTGATATACCTGAACGTGTTCAGACCAAGTGCCGAAGCCTGACAGCAACAACTTCTAAACTTTGAGTCGCTCAGCCGCCATCGTCCTACTACATCCCGAAACATCCCACAAGCTTCTAACCCCAAAAAACTGAAACTTAAATCCTACGCCCGGTCGAGGGCCTCGCCCCGGTTGGCGAGCCATAGTCGGAACGAGCTCCTAAGCTTGGCACCATGAATGATACACTGAGGATAACGCTCGAAGGCTCGACTGCTCACAAGGCCATGTCCAGGGTTCGACGACAGCAGAAAACAGGAAGCGCCTGAGGCTGTAATCCTGTACAACCATATACAATCACTATGCAAGCCATACTCCATTGTCGCTGCGATCTCGAAAACATGTTTGCAACCCTCAGACAAGTCCCCGGTCTATCAATCAGCCATGACTCGCTTGGGCGGCCTGGTAGGAATTGCGAGGTAAGTTCCAAGCGACACCAACACGAGATCGAGCCTTGGGGAACGGACCCGCGCAAAAAGCAGAATCTTCAGCAGCTCTCGGAAACTGTCAGAGTTGAGCTGTTCACTCCCACGGGACAAGCCTCAAGGCCAAGCCCGGAACTCTGAATTCGGGTTGGGCGTATGGGACCATGGGTTGAGGCTTCCTGAAGGGTCTCAGGCAAGGCAGATCCGCGAAGAACCTTCCACACATATGAATCCGCTAAGTTCTCATACCATACCATACATGCTTCACACCGCGGAGACTATCGCGACATTCTGAAAATCTCTCTCTATCGGTCTCTTTCCCTCCCTGTCTGCCTGTCTGCCTGTCTCTCTCTATCGGTCTCTTTCCCTCCCTCTCTGCCTCTCTCTCGCTCGCTCTCGCTCTCTCTCTCTCTGTCCCTCCGTCCTTCTCTCCCTCCCTCTCTCCCTCTCCCTCTCTTTCTTTCGCCAGGGCTGTGGTGCAGGGGTTTCTCCCTACACCGCGCGCGTTTGCGCCCCCAACAGGTGCGGGTGCCAAGGAACAAAGCAAGCACACACCAACAAGGCAGCGATCGCGCAAAATGGACACGAAGTAGCGAAAAATATGGGAAGATTTGCGCGACACTGCGATGTTGTGCGGCCGTGTCAAAGCATTCGTAGAAAGTGGCTCAAGTTGGGCTAGGTGCAGAACGAAAAGGTAAACACGACCGAAAGGCTGCCAACTTAATCCACTTGATGGAAGGGGGTCGTTGACTACAGTACCAAAAGGCATTATGCGAAGTGGTACAAAACTGCATGAGCTGTAGAGAAGAGTCTTTGGGATTTTTAGCGGCCCGTCACTTGAGTTAATGACAGACACGGGGTTTCCCCGGGTGCGTATAGCACATGCTGCCTCGAGCGGAGGCTGGAAGTGATCGAATCTGGAAGGCTCCGGCGGCCCGCCAAAACGAATTTACAAACTGCAAGGATCTGAAGGGGTAGCACCCCTAACTTGCGAAAAAGCTCGAATGGACAGAAAGGTACTCCTCGTACCTAAAGAAACGTGCAAACTTGACCCCAATTAAGGAACAAGATCCTGAAGTCCAGCCACTCAAGAGACAAAACAAGAACCAGTAAACCCAGCGCTCAAGGGGTTTTTCCCCGCACAGCATAGAGGCTTCTGGCTCTGACGTGTTTCATGTCAAAGACCTAGGCAGGTTCGTAGGGGTTTCCCGCGCTCAGGTGAAAGCCCTCTCAGTTGTTCCTGCGTTCCATCCTGGCCGTCTTTCTGCCACTGTCCCTGCCAGCGCTGGTCTCGTCTGTGGCTTCTGTACTCCGACTTGGTGGCTGCTCTGTACGCCTTCCACGTGTCTTCGTCGTTGTCATATTGATCGAGGCCGTAGGGTACATTGCCATCCGCGTCTCTGTCTTGGAGCAGTTGGTGCAGGCGATTTCTCTGTCTCGCCGTGAGCTTCGAAGGCGCCCCCAATGGTGACCTGAGGAAGGAGCCATGTCCCCCATGTAGCGGGTCCCCATATCTGCGCCTTGCTAAGTTTCCCCAGGTCCGGAGCTCTCAGCGGCCTCAGCGGCATTGTTTGTATCAGCCTCGTCTGCAGCGTCTGGGGAAGTCCCCGTGTCCGGTCGCCTGAGCCGCATGTGGCTGTCGTAGTTCTCGAGGTCCTCGTCCAAGATGTCGATGGAGGGGTGCAACATCTCTCAAAGGCAATGCTTCTTCCGTGTCAGGGTAACGATCGTAGTTCTGGAGCCTTCCCCTGCATGGTGTGGAGGATGGGAGCTTGTCACTAGTTCTTGCGGTGCTTCAGCAACTTCCCCTGCATAGCGTAGGAGATGAGGGCTTGTCTCAGGTCCTCGTAGCACTTCGGCAAAGGGGGGGAGGGGGGGTGGCTACGGAGAGGTCCTCCTGCGCAGTTGTCTCGGCCAGGTTCTCGTCGGTTCCTTTGAGCTCTTGACTCAAGCTGGTGTAACTCCCCGGTGTCGTTGAAGGTTCCGCGGGCTCAGGTGGTACTGCACGGGCTGCGCCTGCTTCTTCTGGAATGATTCCTCGCAGCACTCTTTGTCGGCTCGAGGAGGGAGGCGGGCGGGCCTGACGTAGTAGGCGAGGAGCGCGTGGCCCTTGAGGAGGTCGAGGAGGTGCAGTGTTGCCCTGGTAGGGTGGTGGTATAAGAGCAGCAGGAGGGCTTGCTAAGGCACGGACTGGGTCCACCTCAGGTACTGCATGGGGTACCTCCCCAGTGCCCGAGCCTGCATTTGGACCTAAGAAGTCGTCAAGGAACTTCGTCCTGGTCTGAGGCAAGGGCGAGGTTGGCTGCAATGGGTTCCCCCACGTTGTCCTCCGGTGCAGGCTGAGGTGACTTCTCTTTGCGTTCTCGGCGTCGTCTGCTGTGGTTGGCATCGCCGCTGGGGCATCGTCGTCTTCGAAGCCTCCGCCGGCGAGTTCTGAGGACATGTTGTCCTGGGTTGTGAGCAAGGATCTCACTGTCGATCACGACGTAGTGGTTGTCGCCGATCGAGGATGTCCCCCGGGAGACTTGACGGGTGCAGGTAGGAGTTGAGTAGGCTCGCCGAGAACTATGTCCCCGATGTTTTTAAAGTCCCTAAGGTCCGGGCAGCAGCAGCAGCGGTCACCGTACAGGAACGTTGCACAACTATCTTCTCGGGTAAAGTGATGATCTGGAGGTGCACACTCTTCACGTACCTCCCCTTGAGCAATAGGGGAGAAGAAAAAGGAAGAGCAAAGAGGCAGGCGCCCCGGTTGAGCGAGGGCGGGTCCTCAGTAGAAGTGAGAGAGATGGAGTGGGGCAGCGAGGCCCGCACTCGCTTGAACCACTCACGGCCTTGAGCCAAGATGGCTCGCTCCGTAAAGCCTCTCTCTCTCTCTCTCTCTCTCTCTCCTCTGCATGGGGGACGGTCAAGTCCCCCGGGCATCATGCCCACCCAACTTATTGTTGTTTCGAGGGGAGTGAAGTTCGAGTGTAAATCACCTGAAGGCTATAGCCATAAAGTCTACGATAGAGTAAAAAGGTGATTGTACACTCTCCAGGACACACGCAGACATGTTCATAGTCTCCTTAAATGCAGGAAGTGCGACCATAAGGATAACTAAAAGGAGGCATCAACACATGTCCACATTTGAGACCTCCGATGGTCTCTCTCTCTCTCTCTCTCTCTCTCTTCTTCCACCGGGCATGAGGGACTGTTAAGGTCCCTCGGCCACATGGGCCCCCCATGTGTTATGGTGTTATGGGGCTCGCTCTCGCTCTCGCTCTCGCTCTCTCTCTCTCTCTCTCTCTCTGTCTCTCTCGCTCATTCCCCCTCTCCCTCACCCTCTCTCGTGCTGCGTGTACGTATTGTAATATGTACATATATATATATATATA